GTTGTTATTTTGTTTGATACCAAAAATCGCAATGAATCATACCCAAAGGACGGGAACACACGACTTTTGTACCTTGAATGGTCGCCGAACTATTAAAATATAGACAATTAGTTGTCAAAAACCAGTTCATCCCAATAATTCACGTTATTCGGAGAAGTTAAATCGTGGATAATATACCATTAATTAACACACCCTCTCAAACGAAAACCAGTCACCTATAAGGGCTTTCGTTTGCACATGTCTTGAACACGAGATACATGTGTTTCACAAATGGGGTCACCGAAATTTGAAATCATGTCAAGAACCAGTTGATCACCAATAAATCGAGTTGTTAGGCGAGATTCAATCATGTATATACCATTCACTAACATTAGTAACACAACTTTTTGGTGGATAATAATAAAGTAACAAACACAAGTTTTCTGGCCAATCTTGCCATTAAAAAAATCCTGAAAAAGTCAAACCAAACCAAACCGATATCACACCAATCACCATCTAATCCACCACATAGCAAGCAAGGAAATGTCATATGGGTAGCAACTAGAGATGCTTCACTGGCTACAGCTAAGCGCTTTGCCCGCCTTATTAATAACAAGTAGGACTGAGAATTCAGTTCCAATTTTTCGGTCAAATCGGAAATCGGACGTATAAAACCGTCTCGGTTGTAACCGGAAACCGGAATGCCATCAATCCAATCCAGTTCACGATTATGGTGCATGCCAACCCAGTCCAATCCAGTTAAAACCGGAAAAACTAGATAAGCGAAAACCAAGCCCGGACCAGCCCACCACAACTCAAAGTCAAGCCCACTAGCCCCAACAAAGGCACGCCAAACCCCAACCCTAGAGTTTTTTCCAGAAATAGCACCTTTAAAAAAAAAATTACAAAACTAGCATGCGCCCAAAAATATTTACAAAACTAGCACCCTTTTTTATTGACCGCACCCTCCAGGTGCGGTTTACTTATAAAACGCATCCCCCAGGTGCGTTTTAAATGTAAACCGCATCTGGAGGGTGCGGTCAATAATGGTGGGCCTAAACCGCATCTGGGCCATGCGGTTTCATGTCTGGCCTACATGAAACGCATGGCCGAGGTGCGGTTTAGGCCTGACCTACCTAAACCGCACCTTAGAGATGCGGTTTCTGCCTCCAAGAACAAACCACATCTCTAAGGTGCGGTTTTGACACGTAGACCGCACCCCCCAAGTGCGGTTTACATGTCAATAATTTTCCGACACCCGACACAGCATGCAGAGGATTATGGACGTAGGGCTGCATGGCAGACTAAAACCGCACCCTAGAGGTGCGGTTTTCACAATTTTTTCCCTATATAAGACTTGCCGGAAAACCTCTACTCTTCACACCTCTCATTCTCTCTTTCATTTTTCTGTTGTATATCTATATTTATTTAGTGTGTTTGCCATTAAGATTAACTCGTAAGTTTATTTTGTGTTACTTTTTATGCTATTAACATTAACTCGTAACTTTATTTTGTGTTACTTTTTATGCCATTAACATTAACTCGTAACTTTATTTTGTGTTACTTTTTATGCCATTAACATTAACTCGTAACTTTATTTTGTGTTACTTTTTATGCCATTAACATTAACTCGTAACTTTAATTTGTGTTACTTTTTATTGCATTAACATTAACTCGTAAGTTTATTTTGTGTTACTTTTTATTGTTATTTGTGATCTGTGATTTTTATGATATTAACTAAAACTATGGTTTGTTTGTGTGCAGATGGCATTCCGTCAGTTGTTGCTTGGCTTACGGTGGAATGGTTACACGGAAGACACCGGAAAGGGGGCCACCTACGTCGGTGGCAATTTTCAGAAAATAACGGTCGGTACCAGACCGAAGCTTGAAGACCTCCATCGAATATGCACTGACGTTACTTGCATGGATGGCACGAGGAGGGTAGATCGTATGGTGTACCGATACCCAAACAGAGCAACTGGGTCATTGTGGCATGAGGAATATACCATAACCACTCAAGATGACGTAGATTCCATGCTCGAATTCTTGAGGTCCAACAAATTGGCCAAAGCCGAGATGTTCGTTTACACCGAGCCAGCCGTTAGTGTTGGAGGTCATTCTGGACACGGTCAAACATCTGGTATCCATGATGGAGGTGAATTATATGACGATCATCCCTACCAAAGTTACCATGATCCTCATTCCTATTTTCAGTACCAAGATGGAGGGCAAGGTGCAGGCCATCATCAATCTTTCTCGTCATATGAAGAAGAAGTTCAACCGGACATCCCCAACCAAGCCCAGTACAACTTCTTGACAGGCAGCGGTAGTTTTCACAACTACCATTATGGAGCTGATGAAGGTGCCTTTCATGAGCAGGATCAGATGGAGGCTGCCACACCAGCACCAGTCAGCGACCCCTCTGATGAAGAAGGAGAGAACAACGTCAGTGCAGACAGCTCAGACCCTCTTGAAGGTGCTGATGATTCAGCACCAGATTCAGATTCAGATAATGATCATGATGTGGCTCCTGACCGTGTACCAGTCCCCTACTACAATCACATTCCAGACGACAATTGGATGGTCGACAGCGACATGGAGCCGCCAGAGGTCCCAATATGGGGCCCACTCACTGGGTTTACGAAGGGCCAACAATTTGGCTCGAAGAAGGATGTGCGGCACGCCCTTGAGACTGAAGCAATGACTCGGCATTTTGAATGGGACACAACTCATTCCAACACCAAAAGGCTCATAGTCAGATGCCGTAATCATCACGAGGGGTGCAATGTTAGGATTCGGGCCATCAACAGCAAGAGACACGGCCACTGGGTCATATCCCGTGCGGTCAACACACACACATGTGTGTCATCCATAACTTCCCAAGGCCATCGACAGTTGAAATCCAGGGTGGTTGCTGCGGCTATCAAGCATCTGATTGAGGCTGAACCGGATCTGAAGGTGAAAGTCATAATCGCTGACATTGCAAGTCGTTTTGGTTATATGATTAACTATAAGAAGGCGTGGCATGGAAAGCAGAAAGCTATGGCCGCCGTCTATGGTGATTGGGAAGAATCATATGCATTCCTTCCCAGACTAATACTGGCATTGGAGGCGTCTAACCCTGGGACTGTGTTCTCCCCTCGATACCAAGATGAAGAGATACAACCCCTAGAGGCAGGTAAGATTAATTAATTAATTAGAAAAATACATGTAGTCCCATGAAAAACAAATATAAATGGATCGCTGTATAGAAGTTACCTCTCCTTCCCAAAGTCGCTCAAACCTCCTCCGATACTCCTCCAACTTGTGTTGGGCAAGGTTGTCGCATGTTGTGTGTCCAAGCCACCTTATTAATATGACAAGAATGAAACTACAATAAGATAAAACACAAGACAAAATGTGTTATGACTACATGATGGGGTATGAGAAGTTTACCTTGCTCCATAAGCTTCACCTCTTAGGGGATGATCGATTGGCCAATCCCTGTCTGGACGTTGGGCCGGTGCAAGCCATGGCATATGCTCCCAAGCTCAAAATTGGACGATGAACATTGCGCCGCCAACCTCCCTCACGGCTTTGTTCGATGCATTGCACAAGTTGTTGTAGATGATAGCTAGGCAAGCGGATGCCCAACTATACTCCCCCATCTCCTCCCAACTACTGAAGATGATCCTAAGCCATCCACAACTAAGGAGATTGCTTGATTTCTTGGAGAATAACACTCCTCCGATCATGCCTATGAGATAGACACGAGCATATCTCTCCTTCTCATCCTCCGGACTTTCCTCGGTTAGGGGGTGACTCTCGTAATGCTCTCTAAAATACTTCGTCAACCATGTAATTGAGACTTGGTGTTTCCTCATTGGTGGCATGCGATCGGTCGCATCAACGCAACCCTTCACCGGTACTTTCACTCCCAAATGACTGTGGATGAAATGCTGCCAACCTGGCATACCGTCACAATCCACGGGGGGATGATCACTCACGCACACCGGTTTGCCGTCGATGGGCAGATGGGTTAGGATGGCGACATCCTTTAGCGTGATGGTGGCCTCTCCTTCTCTAAAGTTGAAACAATGGGTCTCCTTTCTCCATCTCTCGGCTAATGCGGTGATGAGTTGGCGATCGATTTGGATGCCGTTAAAATGCCTAATCGAGTCTAACCGTGCCCTTTTGAGAAATGGCAAGATAGCTGGGTGGAATGGGAGCACATTGGTGGTACCCCTATAGCGGATTATTGTTTGTGATTCCTAGAAAAAATGTACACGTTAGTTATTATTAGTAAGGGGTTTTTCTCGTATAACTAATTTAATTAAATTAATTGGTGCGACATAAAACATAATTTTATTATCATAAAAAGACATTTCATATTATCATAAAACAAACGTCCTAAATTAATTAACATAATAACATTGTCAATGAATAATAATTTAAAGAGGTACATACATATTATCGTAAAACAAACATACTAAATTAATTAACATAAATAACATTGTCAATGAATACTAATTTAAAGAGGTACATACATATTATCGTAAAACAAACATACTAAATTAATTAACATAAATAACATTGTCAATGAATACTAATTTAAAGAGGTACATACATATTATCGTAAAACAAACATACTAAATTAATTAACATAAATAACATTGTTAATGAATAATAATTTAAGTAGAAACATACATATTCAAATGTTTGGTAAATAATTTAATCGTATTAGTTGTTTTAAATAATTTAATCGAATACAAAGCAACACTCGTTAGACTCTTAGAAGAGGTATACATCTTCTTAGAAACGCAGTCTTTTTGACAGAAAAAGGGGGGATCCGAGGATCTCTTAATACCCGATTTTCCCAGGTAATGGGAGGATATGATAATCGCTTAAAACCCCATTTCCTTAGACGTGCATCTCTTTATAAAGAGTCGAAGTAAGTGGCGCTATGTATTCGATTAAATTATTGAAAACAACCAACACGATTAAAAAATAAACATAAATTAATTTTATATTACACTAGGCACATTAACAAAATAAAAGAAGGACAAATGGTGAAGAATTGTATGTACCGGGTGATCGTTCCAAACATCCCTTGACCGATGGTTGGATTGGTCGTACAAGTCGGTTGGATCCACCGGTCCTTGCTCGAGATAATACCGTTGGTTGTATATATCGACGTCCTCCCCAACCTACGAGAAAATAACAACGAGGTTAGTACATAGATTAATTAAAAAACTTATAACAACAACAAAAATTAAACCAAAATAATGAGTACATACCGCTTGAAATTCATCAACATAAACTCCTTCTCTTTGCCACCAATCGGCCATTATTTCGGCGTAATTCGGACAGAGCTTCGGCTCGACTCGGAGGGTTTTGAGGAAAAAACCTAAGAAATGTTTTCTGATGGCAGATCGGACTTAGCCGCAACCAACAGACCACTATTTCCTAGGCTTTTGGGAGGGGAGGGTTTAGTTAGAGAGATAAATTGTAGAGAGAGGAGGAAGAATGGGTTGTGGTGTGAAGAAATGAGAGGGGGAGGGGGGGTATTTATACCCATCAGACCGCACCCCCCAGGGGCGGGTCCAGTAATTTTGGCCTAAGGGAAAACCGCTGCCTCCCGATGCGGTTTGCGCTTCCCAAGGGTTTGACCGCTGCCTCCAGCTGCGTTCCCCCTTCCCTGGCACGGATCGCTTCGCTGGCATGCTGATCCACCGTCAGATCGCATCTCCATCTAGCGGTCTTGAAGACCGTTCCGCAGCTGGCGCGGATCGCTCCGCTGGCATGCGTTTCCACACTGAGACCGCGCCTCCATGATGCGGTTTATAAGTTTAAACGCATCCTTCAGGTGCGGTTTACTTATAAAACGCATCATGGAGGTGCGTTCCATAAAAATGTGTGCTAGTTCTGTCAATTTTTTCATATGTGTGCTATTTTTGTAATTTTTTTTTTAGGGTGCTATTATTGGAAAAATCTCTCCATATTTTAGTGAAGCGATGAGGGTTTCAATAATTTTTCACGTCTTTTACACAATTAAAATAAATTATGCATAAGCTTATAGCCTTGTACAATATTAATGATCATTTATAAATAAATATCCATAATATTATACAACATTTTTTTATAAATTATAATTACTTAAAAATATAACTAATTGGTCAAGGTCACACCCTAATCTTGTTAAATCGTAATCCGGTCAAACAATAAATTTATATTATTATATATAGTTAATCACTAGTTTTATCTAATTTAGTGATTTTATCCCTACCAACCTGGGATGAGTTAGCGTGGTTACTTAATTTTTAGTAATCATGGTGGCTACCTTAATCTAAACCATTGATTATTTCTTTTTTATTCTATTTTTAAATTAATGATGGAGATTATATTAGGGTAATTTAGGAAATAAAAAATATACCACACCTAATTACTCTATAAATTATATCCAAACCCTAACCCTACTATAATCTGCCGCCTACCACCACACTCCCTCCCCACTATCTCCCGCCGTCCGCCCTCCCTCCCGAGAACCCCCTCCACCACGGCCGGCCGACCATCCTCCCATCCACCACCCTCCTCCATTCCCCTCCTCTCTTGCGTAACCCATCCTCTCTTGCGTAACCTCTCATCCCCCTCCCTCCATCCCTAGCAACCCCCCATCTCCCTTCCACCATTGCATCGCCACTTTTGAATCTTCCTCCGACGTTGTTGACGGCGGCGCTGGGTTCCGAACATGGATCGCCGGTCGAGGTCGTGGTCAGAAACGGGAACCCGATCAGAGAGATCAAATACAGCTTGCCGGAGAGCGTTCAGCTTTGCTTCTGCAGGTAATCTAGAATGGTAGAGTTTGCATTGGTAGAGGATTTGCTTTGGTAGCTACCTTGCATTTTATTATGGTACTGTTTGCATTATGCTTTGGTAGTGTTTGCATTATGCTTTGGTGGTTACCTGCATTTTCTCTGGTAGTGTGCATTACGCTTTGGTAGTTACATGCATTTGTGTTGGTTAGATGGAGCATTATGTTTGGTAGTTATCTGCATTTGGTTTGGTAGTGTTTGCATTATGCTTTGGTAGTTTGTCTGTATTTGTTTTGGTAGTGTTTGTATTGATTTATTTATGCAATGATATTGTTTTGATTTCACAGTAGTAGTGGTATTTGTTATTTTGGTATTTGTTTCACTTTTGTAATGGTATATATTATTTATATTGGTAGTTTTCGTGTAATGATATAGATTTATTTCTGCAATGGTATTGATGTTTTTCAAAAAATGGTAGTGGTTTTCTAATGGATTGGTAGTGATTTCATGTTTTTTCTTTTGCAGAAAGATTGAGAAAAATATGGAAAGGAGATCTGGCCGGAGATTACGGAAGTGAGAGAAAGAGAAAGAATTGTAATTAATAAATTTTTGTAACTACCTAAAATATAATTTATTAAAATTAATTAATTAATATAATTTATTTTTCCATACCCAATTTACCCTTAGTAACCACGGTGATTACTATTTTGTAGTATTCACCGTAACCGCTCCCCTACCAACCTCTTTCCTAATTAAATGATAATATTAATATAATAATGTCAATAACCCCCTAATCCAACTCACTCACGGGAGAATATTTGGTAAAAATCATTAGTTACTAAAAATTATAGTGTTCAGTGCTAATTAAGCGTGCCATGTTGTGCTCTGTTATGGATTCCTTCAATCATTTTCCAACACCCACGTCTAATTAGTATTAATATTCAATTTATTTCCTTAATTAATAACCGGCAAGATTAATGCTTAAAATAATTAATTATTAACACATTTTTATTTTATTCCGCTTATCTCTCCCCCGTAATCCCTCCACCATTATTTGCTGCTCGTAATTTGGTAAATTGTTAATGGAAGGAGTTAATATTGATTTAGGAAGTATAAAGCTAAATAAATGGCGGAATGTTAGGAGTTAATAAAATAAAAGACTAATTATTGGGAAAATTACACGGGATGCAGACCAACAACCCCATAATTATTAGTTTTTTTTTCGGTGATTTTTGCTGTCGCCTCTACCCTGAGAAAGACAATTCCGGGAACGCGTCCGACACAGGCTGGCGGACCGTGTCCGATGGGCGGCGATCGGACCCCGTCCGATGGAGGCTGGCGGACCCCGTCCGACGACGGCGATCGGACGCCGTCCGACGAGCGCAGGCGGGGGTTAAAGAAAAAAAAAACTTTGTCTTGACGGCGAGCTCCTTCCTCGGGCGGCGGCGATTTCTTTCTCACGGTGTTGGCGACAGCAACAGCAGCGGCCACCTCTTCAACAGCTGGCGGCGGGAGGGGAGGCAGACCCGTCGGCGGAGGCGAAGCAGACTCGCCCACGACTTCGAGGGGATGCAGTAGGTTTAAAATGAAAAAAGGGTAAAATTGTAATTTTACTTATAATTACGGGCGGCAAATAGTAAATTTTAAGGCGGCAAATAACAAACCTCTTTAATTTCCACTAACAATAATGCAAGTTGTTTAATGTATATATAAATTATAAATTTGTAATATCTACTTAGTAAATTTTTCATTATATATGGTCGTACATGATCGTACGTATTTTATCTGTTTTAATACTTTCATATACAATTGTTCGGTAATGTTGTGGATGAGTTTTTTTTTCGAACCACATACGAGTTGGTTTTGATATGTCATATTACATCCCACACCATTTTGATTATAAGAATGGTTATAATTTTAAATACGTGATTTGAATGTGATACATAGAAAAATCGATCTCAACCTAATTCGTTGCTATCCCTAGATGTAGCCTAATAATAATGAAGGAAGGAGAAGGTTGAAACAGAATATAGGGGTCATTTGGTTTTGGTGATTGTTTGGTTGAGATAGTTACAATACATGTATTGTCCATAATGCATTGTTTTTTTTATTATTTTCTCCAAACAATACATGCATTGTTTGCTTGATGTGACACAAACTATCACTCAAAATGAGTGATAGTTAAATCTCAAGTTTTCACCCAAAAAGTATTATAACTTATTTAAATAATATAATCACTGGGCAGTTCTACGGTGCCCAGGGCAAAATCCAGGGTACGGGTAACCGGGGGCAAGGAAAATTACCAAATGCATCACGAAGCGTTTATGGTGACTTCTACGGACTTCAACCTAACTGTACCCGGTTTAATGATAGCGATTAAGAGGTTAAACCCTATGGATACGACCCGCCGCCCTAACCAATTTCCAGTCTCCCTTCTACGATCCCTCATTCGCCTTGGAGGGTCCCCTCTAACTCTAAGTTCGAAGTTCGATCATAAGCTGCCTATCAAATCTGAAATCTCCAACAAAATCATCGTTTCGAAACCCAAATCCTTTTATTATTTGATCCACATTCGATTTAGCTCCCTATCCAATCTCAAATCCCCAACATCATCATGTTTCATACGCCAAATCTATGTATCCACATTCGAAGAGAAGATCCCCATCCAATATGAAATCCTCACATAATCATCGTTTAGAACCCCAAATCCTTTTATCCACAAATCGACGTTTTGTTCATCGCCATTTTATTTCCGTGCGGAATTTACTCGCCTTACTCTTTCTAACACGATTACGGCGACCATGTCTATTATTGTGTTCATCAAACTTTTCGTTTGCAAAAGAACCCTTGAAAGAGATTTGCTAACCCTAGGGTTCATGTCGCTAGTGCTTTGTCATCTTGTCTTAGCGTTATTGTCATTTTCTCGAAACTTCTATCACTCGGTGAAATTAAGGTTTCCTGATATGCAGTGTTCGTCTCGCCCAGAGGATTGAGGAAGGAGATGAAGAAGACCTAATTTGATTCGAATCAGATGGAGAGGTCTCCTTAATTTGTGTTTATGTATTAACGCTGCGTTTAGGACTAATTCTAGTTGGACTGGGTCTGATCATTGATTTTTGCAGGCTTTTAAATAACATTCAAACGTGGGCTTGTACATGGACCCATGACACCTAGTTTGTTGATAATAGATACTGAGTTCCGGATTGTCATTAGGTTGGGCCTTTGATAATTGTCTATCTCAGACTCTCAGTGGCGATTCTTTGTTTTACTTATTTTCATCTGCTTCTGCTTCTAAAATCCTGATCATTCATTGAGTTCACGCAATTTAAACATAATTCTGTGTTCCATCTTTTTTGGAATTTGGTAAATGTTAGCGTGTCTCTTTACACATTTAGCGGTACGAGGTAAACTACAATCCGCCCAATTTAACTCTTCATTAATTGAGATCCCATTCCACTCTCTCACCGATTTCCCCTCTTTATGCAATGCACTCGTACATAACAAACCTCTTGTAGACTAATTAGAGGCTTGTGGTTGGATACTGAGTGAGGATATTTTTTG